AGGAGAATTTGCTTTTTAATTTAAATCCTTCCAGATCATTTGAATTTGTAAGAAGCATATATTGCTTGTGTAATAATAACTTCTCAAAGTAATATTTTGTCTTACAAATGCAAATAGTCTGCAAAAACCCGTGTGGGAGCAAGAAGATGCAACAAATAGCTTAAGGGTGGTCATTAAATATACCATCATCATCCTTTCTTGAGCATTTGCCACGTGCCCAGAGCTCTGCTACATGTTTTAACACTCATTATTTAATCTAAAGCTCATCACAGCCCTATGATGCCATTAGTGCCACCATTCTCTAGATGAGAGACTAGAATTTGAGAGCGACTCAATAACGTGCCCAAGGTCAGCCAGCCTCGGAGCTGGCATTTGCAAGCGCTGGTCCTCAAATCAGGGTACACACCAGGCTGCCTCCCTGAAATGAAACTGACAAAGCTGATAAGCTCAAAAGCCATTTGTTTTGCATCCATTCCACTACTTAAAATTTCCTGATATTCCATGGGAGCCAAAATCAAATTGTCATGAAAAAACAAGCCAAGAGACTGGTGTCTCCAGCCACCCTGGGTGACGCTGGGACAACATGGATTCTAGCAAGTCCCCTGTGATCCTTCCCCCACCCATCCGTTCACCAGCCATTGGCTGATGCCTTACATGTCAGGTTCTGCTGGCTGCCAGAGACCAGAGAGGGTGAGATACCCACGGCCACCAGGAGAACACAAGGCAAACACAGGGGCAGGCTGGACGCCAGCACCTTCCACATGCAGGCTTGGCATCCTCCAGAAATAATCAGAACTCTTTGCTATTCAGGATCCAAACAAACATGATAGGGGGCTGAAAATGAAACAGGACCTTGCCATTGGTGCCCAGGGGCCAGCCCATCTTCCCCTCTGAAATACTTTAGTTGTCACGATGCTGAGCTGGGACTTGGCAATCCATCCTTTAGGAACAGGTACAACACTGGACCAGTCCATTTGAGTGGATTCTCTGGCACTTCACCTAGGCCTTAGTCCCAAGATGGCAAGAGAGGGTGGAATAAAGCTTCGGGTGCCATGGAAAGCTGGGGTCGGATTTCCCAGCAAGGTCTCAGCCTGAAGACCTGAGCTGCTAAGAGCAGGTACCCTGTATATCCTACCCAATAGGACCCCATGTGCTTCTCAGAGGCCCAGGCATACAGCAAGTGCTCAATGAAGTGTTGGTGAATGAATGAATAAATGTGATTCTGGGTAAGGCAGCCCCATCCCCATGACTATTTGGAGATGGGAGGGGTGTGAGCCCCCCACCCCATCGCCAAGTTTTTTGGGACATGGACCAACAGGCACCTACCCAGTGAAGAATCCCACAGAGTTATATTAATACAATTGAAATATAAATAATAACACCACCAATAGCATCAGTACTACAATGAATGCTGATCCCCGTCAGGCAAGTATTTCCTTTCATCTTCACGCCGTCCTATGAGAAGTGTACTATTATAATTCCTAACTTACAGATAAGAGTACTGAGGCCATGCTGCTAGCAGAGCTCAGATCGGAACCCAGGTCTGACATGGAATACGACGTTTCAAGCTGGAAGGAGTTTGACAAACCACACGCCAGGAGGCTAAGGACATCAGCAGCGTAGCGGGGCTAAGAACCCAAGTCTCCCAACTTCTGGCCCAAGGTCTGCCACCAGGCCGGCTGTTTGCAATGCTGTAAGTGAAAAGGAGTCCTAAGCTCCGTAAAGAATCTCAGGAATGAGAGGATTAGGAACTCTTGGTCTTCATGTGGCACCATCTCTTCGAAAGGGCCCTCCAAAACTCCTTTTCCCAGGGACGAAGAGGATGAAAGGAAAAGGAAGGAGCTACCCAATGCCACACCCAAGCTGTAGTTGAGAACAGCCTTGAAGACAAGATGGCCTCAGGCCCAACGTGGCCAAGCCTGGAGGCCTGTGGGAAAGAAGGCTGACCAAGTTCATCTGGCTTCCTGCCCGGCACAGTCTTTCAAGCCTCAGGGTCCCACCACCAGGCCTCTGCTCTCGCTGTGTCTTCCTCCCAAATGCCCTTTCTAATGTCCTCACCTGGCCCATATCCAGGCGCAGCTCACAGGTCTTGCATCCCCTGATCTTACACCACCAATGTGCAGAAGGAACATCTCCTTGTGTCTCTGAACCCTCAAGCCTTCCTTTGTGTTTCTGCTCTGGACCTTCCCATTCCTTACCCTGGATGCCTTTTTTTTTTTTTTTTTTGACACAGAGTCTGGATCTGTCATCCAGGCTGGAGTGCAATGGTGCAATCTCGGCTCACTGCAGCCTCTACCTTCTGGGTTCTAGTGATTCTCCTGCCTCAGCCTCCTGAGTAGCTGGGATTACAGGCATGCACCACCATGCCTGGCTAATTTTTTTTTATTTTTAGTAGAGACGGGGTTTCACCATGTTGGTCAGGCTGATCTCAAACTCCTGACCTTGTGATCCATCCGCCTCAGCCTCTCAATGTGTTGGGATTATAGGCGTGAGCTACCGCGCCCGGCACCTTTGATGCCTTGACTTTGACATAGTCTCCCTTAGAACTGGCATCTGAAGTGCCAGTTGAGTGTATCTGAATGAATGAAGAATGCCTGAGAAGGAGAGCTTGTCTGATGCGTTTTATTAACAGGTGCACACAGCCAGAGCAGGTCTGTGTACCCATCTCTAACAGGTGCCCTTCCTCCTCCTCAGGGCCATGACCAGCTGCACCTTACACCCTAAGTCCTAGAGGCTGAGAACCAAGTCATTCTGCTAGTTCTGCATCAGGCACAGGTGCGGGGCTTTATAAATGGTGTGGAAAGTAACTGACCAACATATCCACCAGGCCAGCCCGGTTATGGTTTAGCATTGTGTGAGATGTCGGGTAAGGCGGGTAAGGGGTTGGGGGCAAGACACCCAGAGGAGGGTCCTGCCCCCAGGAGGTCTCCCAGAGGAGAGGGCAGGGGACCCCGAGGACAGGGACCTTTGGGCTTTGCTCACCCTCAGTTCCCAGCATCTAAAACAGCGCCTGGCTCACGGTAGGCACTCGACGATAGATGTTGGCTGAATAAATGAATTAACACTCACTGACCCAGAGGTGCTGAGCTCACCATATAAGGCAGGGCGGTGCTGAGCGCTGAGCTGGCTGCACGGTGACTCAGAGCTTCGGAGCCCACAGGCGAGACAGAGAGCTAGAGAAGGCTGGGGGAGGGCCAGGAGGTTTGTGGTTGACCAAAACCAAGCAAGAAGCAGATCTGACAAAGTGCCTGGCCGCAGCTGCCTGGGAGGCAGCATCACAAGCTGTGGTTTTCAGTATTTTTTTCCACAGAGGAATCTTTTCTTAAATGAAATCACATGCCACACCCTAAATGTAGGACACAGCTGGTGTGGTGGAGGGCAGCAGGGCTGCCAGGCTGGCCTGGCCACGTGAACCCTCGTGCCCCCAGAGACAGAGCTTCCATTCAACTAGCGCCCATTACCCCACTCCCCGTCATTTTAAGGGGCTTCAGAAAAGCAAGGCTGAGGCTGGTCTTCTGGGAAGGGGCCCATTTAGGGCAAATAAACCCTAAAGAGGCTCAAGAAACTTCCCCCAGCCATGAAGGAGTTGAGGTGGGGGAAGAATAAAAAGGCTTTCCCAGTGAGTGGAGGTCTACCCAAGGTGGCCAGGCACTGGCTGAAATCGTGGTGCAGCCATCAGAGTGCAGGGGCTCTTTATGAGAAGGACTGTCTGGAACAATCTTTTTGGAATGTGAATCACCACTTGCAGATCCATCAGATGTATGGGGGGGGGAGAGAGAGAGAGAGAGAGAGAGAGAGAGAGAGAGAGACGGGCTTTCAGATACTAGACTCACTAAAAATGAGGCACTCAGAGAGAGGCCAATGCTGGTACCATAAATCACAGAAAGGACCCCAAGTGGGATACATGCAACCACCTGGGCGCTTCATCACCCCCAACTCCCACCAGGACACCAGTGGGGAGCATCTGCTGTTTTGTCTGCTCAGCATTCTTTCTCCTTTTTCTAAAAATAATGCCTAGATTTTCCCTTGGAAGTCCATCCCCTTTCATGCATTCAGGCTGACTTCCCCAACCCATGACACCCTCTGACCTCACCATGGCACCACCACCCACCACTGGCCACCACATACCACTGGCCCAGTCTGGCCTATCAGCATATCTTAGCCTCCACGTTTCAGTGATTGGTCAGAGGCAGTCATGTGACCCAAGACTATCTAATAAGCCTCGACTCTGGGATTTTTGTTGGAAGTCCTGGGAAAAGAAGCTCTCCTTCCATTGATTTTGAAACGAGAAAGTCGTCCATTTGGAGCTACAGGTCCCTGCCCTGCTGCCACATGGCGAGTGCCTGCCGAGGACTGAAGGTCACAAGGAGGGAAGCAGAGGACCCGGATGTGGTGAGACACAGTTCTAACAGCAGGATTTGAGCCCTGGATTCAGCCCTGCCTGCCTTGAAACCTATGAATAGACCCCAAATCATCACTATATTAGAAACCAATAAAAAAAAAAAAACTAATAAAATAGCCTAGCTTGCTTAATCCAGTTTAAGTTGAATGTTGGCTCCCAAATGACGCAGCATCTGACCTCAGTTCAACCTTTGCCCTCGTCACCACCCACTGCAGCCAACCTTTACTTCTGACCCACCATTGGTTCCTGCTTACCTGAACAACAGCTCCACCCTTCCCCAGGTGAGCCTGGCGGCCATGAGCCAGCAACTTGATGGGCCAGCCTGCACCTCAGCCTTCTCAGCTATCTGGCCCTCTGAGGGTTATCTTTTCGGTGAATCTAGTGAGACCCCAGCATCGCTGGCTCAGATCCACTCACACTACCTGCACCCCGTAGTATCCTGCCATGGACCTTTGGCATGATGGGGGAGACAGACACTAATCCATGAAAGAGAATGAATGATAGAGAGTGACAGGCGCCCTGCTGACGGTTACCCTTAGCAACAACAACAGCAAAAGTCGCAAAAATCCCCCTGCTGCACAAGCCTAAACCCTGTTACCTGGAGAGCCAGCGTTGAGACGTCTGCAAAAGGATTATGCCTGCGTCTCCAGAAATCAAATTCAAGGGGTTCCAGCTGCTTTACAGCAGTATTAGAAGCTCAGCTCAGCTGAAGCTTGAGGCTGTCTGGGAGGTGCTCACCTGTGAGAGAAGCAGAAGCAGTCGTGATTACCTGCCTGAGCGGAGGTCTCTTCTTCCCGTTTGCAAGGCTCTCCCAGCCCTGCAGGAGGCGGGGTGATAAAACCAAGGCTGCAGGAGCCTGGGGGTGAGCATCCGGATTGGGAACTCAGCATCTAGATCTGACCGAAGTAGGCTGGAAACAATCCTAAGACACAAAGGTATGCATGTGCCCGAGTACACAAGTGTGGGGTAAAAATACATAAGCATCCTACCCCCTGCATCTAGCAGAGTGCCCCTTGCAGAAGGGAGAGGAGGCACAGCAAACGTTTCATGATTCGCTTTGATGTAAAACTTAATTTGTATGTCTGAGTGCAAGGCAACTCCATGGGCCCAAGCAGATTGGAGAGAAGTTTCTTCAATGCAGGAAAATGCATTCCCAGGATGCTCCAGTGCGGCCAGACCAATGGCCTCTTTCCATCAATAAGGAGACTGATACCCAGAGAGGGGCACTGACTCGCTCAGAGTCACACAGCAGCAAGTTGGTGGCAGAGGAAGGCCTCAACTCTGAGTCTCTCCTGACTCTTGCTGAAGCCTCTCTCAGGGCCATACCCTCCTCTGTAGCTGTCAAACTGGAGCAGCCCCAGGAGCACAGCAGGAGCCTGTCGCATTGCTGTGGTGGGGGAGGGGAGAGGATGCTCACCACCCAGTCGTGGGTCTCAGCAGACAAGTGCTTTCTGGCTCTGCTCAAGCCCAGACAAGGAACAGGAGGCTGCCCACAGTGGCCAAGAGCACGGGCTTTGGAAGCATGTAGACCTTGGCCACATCCTGGCACAACCTCTTTCCAGAAGAGGGAAGTCAGGGGTCCTCTCAGAGCTTCGGACTCTTCATTTGTAAAATAAGAATAATAATAGCATCTTTTCCTGAGGATTGCTGGGAATTAAAATGACTTTCATAAGTCTGTGAAGCCCACAGAGGAGCATTTGGCATATAGAAATTGCTCAATAAATGCTAAGGAGGCAGCACAGAGGAGGATAGCGCAGTGCATGCCAGGAGAGGTGGAACACCGGACTTGGAGCTGCCTTGTGTTCCTGGCAAGTCTTTAGACAAACGGCCCCTCTAAATTCCGCCAGCCATTTGTCTCTTCTGCACCCAGCTTCTCCCTTTTCTCTACATCTCAGAGACCTGAGTGGGCCCCCAGCCCAGCAAGCCTGCCCCTCTTTCTAGGCTGGGAACCTCCCACCTGCCTGTAGGATCCCCTTACCCCAGTCGCGAAGCACAACCCACATTTCGCCAGCCAGCAAAATGCAAATGTCATTAGCACTCTGCAAGCTGGTGAGCACGAATGTCACACCAGACGGTGCGAACTGGGGAGGGATGGGAGGGTGGATTCCCCAGGAGGGGTGGCATTCCCAGCGTTTTCCAAAAGGGCATGATAAAGAAATAAATAAACGGCTGCAGGAAAGAGGTGACAATGGAGATGGTTTCGGTAGCAGCATCCACAGCCACGCCGTCCTTGCAGGCTCACCAGGGTCACCCGTGGTTCATGCTTCAGCCACGTGTCCCAGTCCCCACTGTGTGTCTCTCTCAGCCTCTCTGGGCCTCTCCTCCCCAGCATCTCCACTCCTCTCTGTAACCCGCCATCACACACTTGATAAAGAGACTCATCTGGGGACCCCCTTGGCCTCCATCTTTCCCCGCAACTTCCATGTTCCCTCAAATGGCTGAGAGAGCCAGATCACCCACCCAAACAGATCCATGGAGCGGGGAGTCTTCACTCTCAGAAGGAAGTAACAGCTGTAGACCCACATGCAGGAGGCTCAGTACCAACACCACACTAACTGGCTGTGAACACTCAGGCACACTATCCCCTGCATGGGGCCTCAGTTTCTCCATCTGTGCAACAGGATCACGGACCCTCCATCGGTCTCTACCATCTCTCAGGCCAGCTTTGAAATCTGCGCTTCCAATAATTCACAGGCAGAGGAGCTTCTCCTCCTCTAATTCCCCTGATAACACCCGTGGGCATGTGAAGGCTTCCTGGAGGAGGGGGCAGACATGGGCATGTGGAGACGGCAGCAGGGCCCTGTGGGCAACGGGCCCAGGGTGAGCACAGGCATGGAGATACCTGGAGGTGGGGGTGAGGGGCACGTGTTTGAGACCACAGGCCAATGCTGCCTGCGGAGCTGAGTAGAAATGAGACAGAAAGGTCCTGTGGTCAGTGCTTTACGTGTGTCCACCCAGTTCATTCTAACAGTGCTATCGTTCTCGTTTTATTGATGAGAAAGTGAAGACTGGAGAAGCTAGGTAACTTTCCGACACACAGCTGTGAAACAGACTGAATGTGAACCCCTATTTGCTTTATGAGAGGAAGCTCTCGATCACTGTGGGATGCTGCCGCCTAGATTGTTTAAAATAGAGCGTGAACTAGAGACATTGAGGCGGATGTGTGTCACGCATGTGTGCATGACTGTCAGCAGCATGTGGGGGTGGACATGTGGACATGCCTCTGTGTGTTGGGGGATTCAGTGTGGGAACATGTGTCATCGTAAATGCACATGTGTGTCATCCTCAGATAAAGCTCCTTTCCCAAGTCCAGGCCCAGAAATGCCAGTTGGGGAGGACACAGCTGAGTGGTGGATGGGGCTGGGAGTGGACAGTCACAAGGCCCTGGTCATCCCCACAGCCCAGGAAGCCCAGCTCTGAGGGCTGTGAGCTGGGTCTGGCCCATGTCACCTGTCTTCTGATCACTGAGGCCTGGCCTGGCATTTTCCTTGGCTCTGTCTTCTTCACTCTTTAGCTGCCTGCTCCAACCAGGGGACTAAATCCTGAAGATCAGGTCTGGCATAAACACAAGGCTGCTGCTAGCAGGTAGCCACGCCAGTGAGCATCAGCATCCACGGGGAGTCGGGGAGAGCACAGCTGTGGCACAGCCTGACTGGCATTCCAGGCCTGGCTCCACTGCTAGACACTGGCTGTGTGGTCGAGGCAGGCAACCCACCTCTCTGAGCCTCGGTGAAACCTCCCAGAGCAGCTGCGATGCCTATCTTAGGTCAAGTTCATGCAAACTGTAAAGTGCAGTGATCACCAACAGAGTGGTAGTTCTAATCCCAGTGATCAAGATAACCCAGGAAATAGCAGAGAAATCCCCAGGGAGCCTGGACGGAGAATTCAGTGGATTCTTTTAGCCAGGTAACTCTTTCCCCAGGGCCTCAGTTTCCTCATCTACAAAATCCTCAGGCTCGAAAACAGAGTTCTGCGCAGCCCCTAGATGTCTCGTTTTCTTCACCATTATCCACGATGAACATCATAGCTAGAATTAATATGCCAGAAACCAGAAGGCCATTCACATAGCAGGTGGCCTCCAGGTGGCTAAGGAGGGGTTCATCATATCATTATGAATTCAGAGGCGTGAGAGGCCCCAGGGAAGGCGTCCTGGAGGAGGGGGAAGATCGGAATGTAGAGAGATGAGAGGAGGGCACTATAGGCAGAGAGAGAGACCAGGGCAAGCAAAGGCATGGGGCTCCCCAGGTGTGGGTAGGTATTCAAGACTATGAGCCAAGCCCGCCTGTTGGGGCGGAGTGGGAAATGAGACAGAAACCGAAGGGAAGGGGTGGATGATGAAGGTCCTTGAATGGCAGGCCAAAGATGATTAAATTTATTCACAGGCAATGGGGAGCCACTGATGATCATAGGGCAGAAGTGTGCTTTCTGGAGATTTAAAAGCAGCAAGAAGCCCAGGCAAGTGGAAAGAGAAAACCAGAGGATGGAAGGAGGATGAGTGGGGCCTGGTGGCGGGGTAGGGCCTGGGGGGGAAAAGGGATGTTGACAGGCCAAGGGTAGAGGTGGGAGGGAAGGTGGTGCTGATTTAGACACTGTGAGGGTTAATTTTAGGTGTCAGCTTGACTCACACAGACATGTCGGGTTTGCATCCCAGCTCTGCCACTGTCACCAACTGTGTGGCCTCCGGCAAGTCATTTAACCTCTCTGGGCCTCAGTTTCTTCCCCTACAAAGTGGGAAAAAATAAAGCCACCTCATAGGAATATGAGATTCAACCACTTATATATGAGAACCACTTTGAATACCGTGATTGTTGAAGACCAGCGTGTAAAATTTATGACTTTTATTAACTAGTGATGTCTTTCCCAGATTACGAATAGAGACACTCAAGCTCAAGGTCGAATAACAGGCTAGAGATGGCTGTGCTGGGCATCAAATCACAGGAGAAGCAAGTTATGAGCAAATAAACCTGAGATGACTAAGAAAAGAGTCTTGATTTTAAAATATTGTTAAAGAAGAAGGGTATTTTATGACTTTTGCGCAATGTGCTTATTAAACCCAAGCTATAAATGTGAACTAATAAGTAAAATGAGTTAATGAAAAAAACAACCTTCAGGATGAATCCATATCACCTAATGGCAGTCCATAAACATAAACATAAAATTTTAAAATACAAGAATGAATTGCAATGCCCAGGAGTTCAAGGAATCTGCAATTTCTCTGTCTGAGAAATAAAAGCTATTGATTTCAGCTGGGTTCTCATTGCTCATGAGTGAGTCTTTGGGAAGTCATAAAGGAAGGAATTATTTCCAATTGTTTACTCACTGAGGATCATATGTATTGAATTTAAATTGTCTCCGATCCCTAATTAGTACACAGCAAATTAGAATCTGAGTACAGCAGAATGAGAAGGGCCCTTGGAGGCCTCTGAGCTCAGTTTTTCTTTGTTTTATAGACCAGGAAGCAGAGAGACAGAGAAGGTGAGTGACTGGCTCAAGATCACACAGCAAGGGCAGGATCCAGGTGAGAACCGGGTCTCCTTACGCAGGTCAGCACCCTGCTTTGGTCCCCACAGTGGCCGAGATCATGTCACTAAATCCAGTCCTAATGGGTGTGCTGTGCTGGTACCTGGGCCTCAGCCCAAGTGATTCCTACAATGAGAACCTTCTCCCAGCAGCTGGGGAAAAGGAATCTGCCTAAGAAAGGGTCCTCAAAGCCAAACACAGTCTAAGAGGGTACAGGA